ATATTATTTTAATATTAACACAAATCATCTATTTTCCACGATGGAGATGGGATTCTGAGAAGAAAAAAAATAAAAGAATGATTCTGAGAGGATCCAAATCCCGTGTTATCATTGGTGGTCTTCTCCTTTGAAACTCCGATTGCTTCCTTCAGGTTCCTCATTGTTCTCTCCCGCCCATACTTTTTTGTTTTTCGTAGTTTCTATCATGATAATGATGATCAAGAATAAAAATTCTATGAGGCATTGAGGTGATTTTGAAAACCTTCGCTGGTTTGGGTTGTTCATTTCTATCCTAGAAATCATAATTCATTGTGGGGTTTCCTTTGTTGGTCTCATGTTATTTCGTTTGCTAAATAATGGTTTTTACGGTTATTTCATTAATGATCTAATAGTAGTAATTTTCTTCCGGGAATGTTTCAATTGTGAATTTCAAATCAATTACTCCTACATTTGGTGAGTTGTCGTAATTCAAAAATATAAAATTCCTTAGCTGTAAATACTTCATTGGCGTCATATGTGTGCTCATACTTTTTTCCCTCTGATTTATCCTTTTGGCGTTAATTATTTATCAGAGATTTGCACAACACATCACTCGCTAGTGAAATACAGAACTTGGGTAGCTAGCAACGTTTTGAGAAACTGTAATGCCTCCCAAGAGTAAGAACTTGATCTTTGGCTTTGTGCAGAGTATATTTGATAACTGCTCTAAAAGTTTAGGAACCTGAGTTTCAAACTAGATAAAATCCTTTGGAGTAGGGGTGAGCAAAACCAAACCGAAACCTAAAACCGAACTGAACCGAAATTAATTTGGTTTTTATTTTCTTTCAGTTATTTTGTTCAGTTATTTCGGTTTTTAGGGTTCGATTTGGTGTGTATAAAGAAATTTTGGTTATAACCGAATAACCGAATTAAACCCTTTTTTTAAATTTTTATCTTTCTTTTACTATTTTTAATTTCCCTCCATTTTTACAAAAATATTTCGGTCACTCCCTCCCTCACTCCCAGACCAAAACGCAATGCATAGCCTGTCAAACTTGACTTCACAGACTCTCTCAGCTCTCTCTCACTCTTAGTGCCCTAGTCAGTCAATCTCAACTCAATGATGTGTCTCTCCCAAAGGCTTGCCCTAGATCGCACATCACGCCGATCGCATCCTCTCCTTCTCTCTCACTGAGCTTCTTGCCTTCTCTGAGAGTGAGCTCAACCGTCGTCCGTCCGTCGTCAACCTGCCGTCATTGCCTCGTGTCTGGTTTGTGGCTTCAGACTTGAAGGTAATCCGACATCGCCCCTGCTTCGTCTCTAGCTCTCTGCTACCCTTGTGATTTTGTGAAGCCATTGGTGCTCAGGCCGTCCGGCATCTATTTGTTTTGTGAGAGGTGAGTCGGTGATTACTAATCTGTTTTGTGGAATATTTACTCTCCACTGTTCTCTTAGCTGCCATCTTTGATTTGATTAGAACATATAGGGATTACAATGGCCTCTGTATGACTGTATCCGCCTTACTAGCATATAGGATGGAATTCACTGAGAGACTAGATTCATCTAGGTTGGCTACTTATTTGGATTTGGTTTTTTCTGCTTTGGCTCAAAGTGAACAAGGAATCCGAGCCGAGCTATTTTTTTTTTTAAGTAGAAATATTTCTATGATTCTATCTACTGAAGAGTGAAGACAGGAAGAACCGAGAAATGATACTACTTTCATTTTTCTTTTGTTCGATATCATGAATTCATGATCCCCTATACTGCACATATGTCTAAAACCAAAATTCCTATCCGGTCAGAAAATGGAAATTAAAAGGAAGGGAGATTGATTATAGATAGGAGTTATCTATTTATTATAAATTGTCCTCTTTCTTATATAATCTGTCATTCTATTGTAACTAATTTATTGATTTAATTAGATGTCTTCTCATGGTGAAACAATGGGTGATGCTCAAGCTGGGGATGATGGTGCTACTCAAACAACAAAGCCTTCAATGCCTATAACAAGGGGAACTACAAAAAGAAAAAGCATGAAGCCAAGATCAAAAGTTTGAGAGCATTTCACCAAATTTGTGAATGAAAGAGGTGAAATTAGAGGTAAGTGTAATTATTGTGGAAATGATCTTGCATGTGATGTAACATTCCATTTTTTTTTAATCTTATTATAGGATTTAGATTATATGGGTGAGATTAATTCATAATATTTAATATTAAAGCTTATTGAATAAATTGTAAATCATAAATTCTGTTATATACATATAAATCATATATAAAAAAATTATTATTATTTTATTAAAAAAATAATAAAAATAATAATATTAAAATATATATATATATATATATATATATAAAAAGGCAAGTGGGTGGCACGTGGGCCACCCACTGCCAGCGGGAGGAAGGGGGGTGTAAGCCCCCGTTGGGCCGTAGCCCTCTTTAAAAAAAAAAAAACAATACACTAAAGGTTTGAATAAGGGGTCACGTGACCCCATAATTGAATCATTTTGTCCCTTCTTCCGTCCAACAGCCTTCGTGCTGTTTCTTCTTCGCTATTCCTCTGGTTCGCCGCGACAGGGAGTGAGCGGGAGAGGTAATTTGAGTGTGTGAGAAAGTAAGGACTCTACTTGGGTACATATAAGATATTTAGGTAAGCTATTTTCATCCTACTATTTTTATTTAGCTTTTTCTTTTTATTTTTGTAAGTTTATGGCAGAAAATAAGATGTGTTAGGGCTTGATAGATTTTTAATGATTTGAGGCTTCTAACTTATTTTGATGATATTAATGGAGCTTATGGGGTTAGAATAGAAGCCTTATGACTTAGATTTTTAGTTGATGGTTGATTTGAGGCAATGTGAGTTAGGGATTGGTTGGGAAATTGTGATTTGTGTTAATGATGATATTAATTTTGAAATTTATCTCTTAGTTGAGTTCATTTGAGGTTATATTGAGGATCCAATGCTTAAACTTTGAGGATTGTTGTTGAAATAGTAATGTTGATGATTCATTGGAGAGACTTTAAGTAGTGGAAATTGGGTGTTTGGAGTAAATTGAGGAAAATATTATAAGTTATTGATTCTAATGAATGGGAAATGATTCATGGAAGAAGGGAATAGGATTGTAATAATGATTGGAGGCATAGATGGTACATGATTATTTTTCTAAGAGTTAAAATAAACACTTTTTGGAGACTTTTGGATGATTTAAAGGAAATATTCTTATTAATGATGTGAATGAGAGAAATAGAATTGGGAAGTATTAGGAATTGTCACTTGGAAGAATAGATGAATTATTATTTTTTCCTAAGGATAAATTTTTAGATAAGCCAATTATGGGGATTTAGTTAATAAACTATTCTAATGCTATATTAATTAGTCTTTTTATATTAATATATGTTTATCAATTTATTATTGTAGAGTGAGCTTGGTTTGGGCTCTTGGGTTTGAATCCTCCTACTTTTAGTTCTTGTGTCAAGAACTTGAGGTAACCACTTTCTAATTTACCTTGTATGCTTGTTGATGTGATTATAAGCATGTGTTGATATTATAAATGTTATCAATATGTGTTATGGTGATTTTTTGTATGAAAAGTAATTTATATATCTATATCAAGATTTATGTTTCGTTAAATTTATTAGTTAAGTGGGCATGAATTATTTCATCTTATGAATATCTTGTTGATGTTGAACAAATTTGATTATTGAATCTGAGAATACTTTATGGATATGAAATTGTGTGGAATTGGATGGTTGGATTGGGCTGTGTTGGTTGTGCTGAAATGTAGTTGTGGGAGGTCTGATTATTATACCACGTGGTATAGCCGCCACTTGGCGCCCAGTGGTTGGCATTAACATTCTTAGGGCCCTCGGTATCACCTTCCTTTGGCCGGGTCAAGGGTCAGCCCAAGGGACATGACACCTTTCCATATTCCAAGGAAAGGGAACCCATGGTCCGATATGAGCTCTGTAACTTTTGGCCGAGTTACACCTCATTATTGGAGAGCTTGGTGCAGTCTTGTAAAAGAGACGAATCCTATTATGTGTGTATAGCCCATGGGTTCTGTCAGAGGTTACAAGGAGGTTATAAGGATGGTTGATGAAGTTCTATGCATGCAAGTTACTCTTTGAATTATTATATATTGTTTTCTGTAAAGATGTTTAACTTATATGTTATTTGAAATTGTACTTTGCCCGCTTAACTATCTTGTAATCACTCCCTGGATACTTGTTGAATTAGAATTGTGGTTACTGGGTCAATTTGACTCACCCCGTGGTTATTTAACATTTTTCAGGTGAGGGTTCAGGTGTTGGTCCCAAGGGGAAGGTGTCCGAGGCTTGAGTTTTCCTTTCCACTCTGTATAGCCTCTATTTTGATATACATGATTTGACTGATGTATATTGCCAAACTTTAGGGCCTTTTTGTTATACTTAACATGTGTTTAATGTTCCGCTGCATTCTAGACTTGAGTTATCGGGCAGAGCCCTTTTTGGATATAGGTGACTGTTATTTTGATTATGATTGTTATGGCCAGTGGTAGCAGTTATTTTGGTGGACCGAAAATGCTACAGTCCATTCATGATTGGTCTTAGTTATTTTTGAGATTTTAGAGATTCATGATGGGATTTGTTATACACCTGAAAAATCAAGTGTTAATTACTTCTTATTACATTAATTATCTTTACTACTTTAGATTAGTGGCTACTGTACTGTTATGAATGTATATTGTTAATGACTATGGTAAATTTCTATTTGATTTATTTTGTCTTTCCTAACATAGTTAACCTTTCGAAGTAATTATCGTTTTGAAAATGTTTAGTTACCATGAATTACAAAGGGGTTGTTTCAAACTTGGTATCCAGAGCCTCATGTTTTCTGGTTTTCTTGTTTCATTTTCATTTTGGCATATAGTTGCATTGGCAATATACATTGATCATACATGTGCTTCCCCTTTATTATTAGACTTTTCTAAGTTTTTCAAAGTCTTATCGTTTCTTGGTTGGTTGCGTCCTTTAGGAGGGGAGAGATGGTAGATACACGTAGGACACAGTCGGCTAATAATAATAGCAACCCGGACCAACCTCAAGAGCCCCTAGACAATAAAGCATTCTTAAGGGAGCTAAGGACATTGGTAGTCCAAATCAGTCAGCAAGTTCAGAGACATGAGCAACAGCTGAATGAAATGAGACGAGATGAGGAGCCCGTCCAAGAAAATGGGCATATCAATGCTAATGAATCAAGTGGCCATCGTTCTGAAGAAGCTCACCACACTGTTATGGAGACTGGGGATAGTAGTCAGCATGAACAGAAGAAGGAGCAGCCTATTAGTGATGTATGGAGGAATTTCAATAGGTGTGATCCGCCAACATTTAATGGCACCTTTAATCCCTTTAAGAGTGAGGCTTGGATCGACCGTTTGGAAACTATCTTCACCTTGGTCCCATGCACCTCACATCAAAGGGTGCAAGTGGCGGATGTACAACTCGTTGATGCTGCTAAGAGATGGTGGGAGAGTGTTAGACCATCTGATGGCACTTTCCCTACATGGGAGGTGTTTAAGGAGATGTTCTTTCAGCACTATTTTCCTTCAGCCCTCCAATCACTGAAGGAGACAGAGTTCTATGCTTTTCAGCAAGACGACATGGATGTGGATGCTTTCATTGCCAAATTTCTAGAGTTGATTAAGTATACGGCTTATGGACAATCTGAAAAGAATAGCAAGTGGATGGCAGACAGGTTGTTACAGAAGGCTAGACCGGAGTTTAGACGACAGCTAGTGCCACTCCAGATTGATTCTTTTGATGACATGTGTACTCGACTTCGCCTCCTTGATGCTGAGATTAAGGGTTATGGCTATGAAATTGAGCCAAAGAGGGACTCCCAGGGCCGTTTCTCTTCCTTTATGAGGCCTAGTGGTGGGATTGGCAAGAGAAGTGGGTTCAATCCAGGAAGCTCTAGCAAGAAGAGCCGCTTCCAGAACAGACAGTCACAGAGGCCCCCACTTCCAAGGGGTAATGCTAGTGGGAGCCAATCATCATTCAGAGGCTCTACTATTTCTGCACCCAGCACCGCACGTTCTCTAGCATGTTCTAAGTGTGGCAAGCATCATCAGGGCAAGTGTTGGACTTGCTTTACTTGTGGCAAGGTTGGACATATTTCTCGCTATTGCACTGCAAACAAACAAAGTGCACCGGAGACCCAATCTACCATTCCCGGTCGTGTGTTTGCGTTGACTCAAGAGGAGGCCGGTGCGTCTCCTAACCTGATTAGAGGTATCATTTCTCTCCAAGGTCACAGTATACATGCATTATTTGACTCTGGTGCTACACATTCTTTTATTGCTTTTGAATGTGCTAAGCGATTGAACTTGCATGTTTATGATTTGCCTTTTGATATGAATGTTTCGACACCTGCTGGATCTTCTGTAAAAACTTCAAATGCATGCTTGAATCTTGTGTTGGAGTTTGAGAGTCACAAGACAAAGATTGATTTGATTTGTTTGCCCCTTAAGGGTCTTGATGTGATTGTGGGTATGGATTGGCTAACAGCTAATAGTGCCACGCTTGATTGTAAAGCAAAAACTGTTTCTTTGCCTATGCATTGCATGCCTATAGAGGTGCCTAGTGGCCCTCCCTGTTATCAGCTGTTCAAGTTGAAAGTTGTATAAAGCAAGGATGTCAAGCCTTTATGGTCTTCTTTTCTGTGCAAGCTGAGATAGAAGAAGGGATTGATGAAATTGAGATTGTGAATGAGTTTCCTGAGGTATTTCCTAAGGAAGTGTCAGGATTACCCCCTGAGCGGGAAGTAGAGTTTTCTATTGATTTGCCTCCTGGGACAGAGCCTATCTCTAAGGCTCCCTATCGAATGGCTCCTGCTGAATTGGCAGAACTAAAGAAGCAGCTTGAAGAGTTACTTGAGAAAGGATTTATCAGACCAAGTGTGTCACCATGGGGATCACCGGTGCTATTTGTGAAGAAAAAGGATGGAACCTTGCGGTTATGTATTGATTATCGACAATTAAACAAAGTCACCATCAAGAATAAATACCCACTACCAAGAATTGATGATCTGTTAGATCAGTTGGTGGGGTCAGCAGTATTCTCTAAGATTGACTTGAGGTCGGGATACCATCAATTAAGAGTTAAAGCAGATGTTCCTAAGACTGCTTTTCGTACTCGGTACGGTCACTATGAGTTTCTTGTGATGCCATTTGGCTTAACTAATGCCCCAGCTGCATTCATGGATTATATGAACAGGATCTTCTGACCCTATTTGGATAAGTTTGTGGTGGTGTTTATAGATGACATTCTCATTTACTCATGAAATGAAGAAGAACACCGTGAGCACCTTAGAATAGTGTTGCAAGTATTGAGGGAGCACAAGCTCTATGCTAAATTGAGCAAGTGCGAGTTTTGGCTCAAGGAGTGAAGTTTTTGGGGCATGTGGTTTCAGCTGAAGGGGTTGCAGTAGACCCTACAAAAGTTGATGCAGTTCTTAAGTGGGAACAACCGAAGTCAGTGACTGAAGTGAGAAGTTTCCTGGGTCTAGCTGGTTACTATAGGAGGTTTGTACAAGGATTCTCTCAGTTGGCTATGCCACTTACTAAGTTGACCAAGAAAGACCAACCATTCATTTGGATAGAGAAGTGTGAAGCCGCCTTTCAAGAGTTGAAAAAGAAGTTGACTTCTGCACCAGTATTGGTTATTCCTGATCCCGCATTGCCATACACCCTTTACACTGATGCTTCTTTAAAAGGTTTAGGGTGTGTATTAATGCAAGAAGGGAAGGTTGTTGCTTATGCTTCCAGACAGTTGAGACCACATGAGGAAAATTACCCAACTCATGACTTAGAGTTAGCAGCAGTGGTATTTGCATTGAAGATATGGAGACACTACTTATATGGTTCACAATTTGATGTTTTTAGTGACCATAAGAGTTTGAAGTATCTGGTGGATCAAAAGGAGCTTAATAATCGACAGAGAAGGTGGATGGAGTTTCTAAAAGACTATGACTTCCAATTGAAATATCATCCTGGTAAAGCGAATGTTGTCGCTGATGCTTTGAGTAGAAAAGCTGTTCATGTATTTCAATGAGTCTCTATGAGAACCATTTGTTAAAAGGGTGAAGGACACTGATGTGCTAGCTGATACGGATACAATCTTGCAAGCCATGCGGATTGAGAATGAATTCTGGAAGGAGCTCAAGATAGCTCAGTTAGAGGATGACTATTTATTGAAGGTTAGGGAAGAACTAGAAGAAGGAGAAGTAAGTGATTTTGAAGTTGGCGAAGATGGAATTTTGAGATTCAAAGAGAGAGTATGTATCCCTAATGATGGAAAATCCAAGCAATACATCTTAGAGGAAGCTCATCGAAGCAGGTACACCATACATCCAGGAATCACTAAGATGTACAATGATCTAAAGCAGAACTATTGGTGGCCTGGAATGAAGAAAGACGTGACAGAATTTGTCTCCTATTGTTTGACTTGTCAAAAGGTCAAAATTGAGCATCAGAAGCCACCAGGGTTACTTCAAAATCTAGAGATACCGAAATGGAAATGGGATAGTATATCCATGGATTTTGTTATGGGGCTACCGAGGACACCTAGTAATCATGATGCAATTTGGGTGATTGTTGATCGTTTGACCAAGTCTGCTCACTTCTTGCCTATACGAGCTACTTATACAATGGAACAATATGCTCAATTATATGTGAAGGAGATTGTCAGATTGCATGGTGTGCCAGAGAGCATTATCTCTGATAGGGATCCAAGGTTCACGTCAGGTTTTTGGAGAGCCTTACACCAAGCTATGGGTTCTAGATTGAAATATAGTACAGCTTATCATCCACCCGATGGACAAACAGAGAGGACAATCCAAACCTTAGAAGACATGTTGAGGGCATGTGCCATTGAATTGAAGGGTAGCTGGGACAATCACTTGCCACTGGCTGAGTTTGCATATAATAATAGCTATCACTCGAGCATACAGATGGCGCCTTACGAGGCATTATACGGCAGAAAGTGTAGATCACTGTTGTGTTGGACAGAATTGAGTGAAAGAACTATCATCAGTCCTGATTATGTTGACCGCACTACAGAAAAGATTGAAATGATTAAAAAGAAGTTGTTGGCAGCTCAGAGTAGACAGAAGAGCTATGTAGATAAACGACGGAGACCTTTGGAATTTTGTGTTGGTGATCATGTTTTTCTACGTGTCACTCCAATGACAGGCATTAGAAGGTCTATCAAAGCCAAGAAATTAAGTCCAAGATTCATGGGTCCATATGAGATTCTTGCAAGAGTCGGTGAAGTAGCATACCAAATTGCATTGCCACCACAGCTAGATAGGGTTCATAATGTGTTTCATGTGTCACAATTGAAGAAGTACCAACTTGATCCCTCACACATCATTGAGCCTGAAGAAGTTGAACTCCGTGAGAATTTGACTTACTGGACAGAATCGGAGCGAATTGCCGACGTGAAGGAGAAACAACTAAGAAACAAGACGATTCGACTTGTGAAAGTCATATGGAAGGGTATGGCTCCCGGTGATGCTACTTGGAAAACAGAAGAGAAGATGCAACAATCTTATCCTCATCTTTTTATTTAGGTACATAGAATTCCTACTAAACTGAATTTTGAGGACAAAATTCCTATTTAGGAGGAGAGAGTTGTAACATTCCATTTTTTTTAATCTTATTATAGGATTTAGATTATATGGGTGAGATTAATTCATAATATTTAATATTAAAGCTTATTGAATAAATTGTAAATCATAAATTCTGTTATATACATATAAATCATATATAAAAAAATAATAAAAATAATAATATTAAAATATATATAAATATAAAGGCAAGTGGGTGGCACGTGGGCCACCCACTGCCAGCGGGAGGAAGGGGGGGTGTAAGCCCCCGTTGGGCCGTAGCCCTCTTTTAAAAAAAACAAACAATACACTAAAGGTTTGAATAAGGGGTCACGTGACCCCATAATTGAATCATTTGTCCCTTCTTCTGTCCAGTAGCCTTCGTGCTGTTTCTTCTTCGCTATTCCTCTGGTTCGCCGCGACAGGGAGTGAGCGGGAGAGGTAGTTTGAGTGTGTGAGAAAGGAAGGACTCTACTTGGGTACATATAAGATATTTAGGTAAACTATTTTCATCCTACTATTTTTATTTAGCTTTTTCTTTTTATTTCTGTAAGTTTATGGCATAAAATAAGATGTGTTAGGGCTTGATAGATTTTTAATGATTTGAGGCTTCTAACTTATTTTGATGATATTAATGGAGCTTATGGGGTTAGAATAGAAGCCTTATGACTTAGATTTTTAGTTGATGGTTGATTTGAGGCAATGTGAGTTAGGGATTGGTTGGGAAATTGTGATTTGTGTTAATGATGATATTAATTTCGAAATTTATCTCTTAGTTGAGTTCATTTGAGGTTATATTGAGGATCCAATGCTTAAACTTTGAGGATTGTTGTTGAAATAGTAATGTTGATGATTCATTGGAGAGACTTTAAGTAGTGGAAATTGGGTGTTTGGAGTAAATTGAGGAAAATATTATAAGTTATTGATTCTAATGAATGGGAAATGATTATGGAAGAAGGGAATAGGATTGTAATAATGATTGGAGGCATAGATGGTACATGATTATTTTTCTAAGAGTTAAAGTAAACACTTTTTGGAGACTTTTGGATGATTTAAAGGAAATATTCTTATTAATGATGTGAATGAGAGAAATAGAGTTGGGAAGTATTAGGAATTGTCACTTGGAAGAATAGATGAATTATTATTTTTCCTAAGGATAAATTTTTAGATAAGCCAATTATGGGGATTTAGTTAATAAACTATTCTAATGCTATATTAATTAGTCTTTTTATATTAATATATGTTTATCAATTTATTATTGTAGAGTGAGCTTGGTTTGGGCTCTTGGGTTTGAATCCTCCTACTTTTAGTTCTTGTGTCAAGAACTTGAGGTAACCACTTTCTAATTTACCTTGTATGCTTGTTGATGTGATTATAAGCATGTGTTGATATTATAAATGTTATCAATATGTGTTATGGTGATTTTTGTATGAAAAGTAATTTATATATCTATATCAAGATTTATGTTTTGTTAAATTTATTAGTTAAGTGGGCATGAATTATTTCATCTTATGAATATCTTGTTGATGTTGAACAAATTTGATTATTGAATCTGAGAATACTTTATGGATATGAAATTGTGTGGAATTGGATGGTTGGATTGGGCTGTGTTGGTTGTGCTGAAATGTAGTTGTGGGAGGTCTGATTAATTATACCACGTGGTATAGCCGCCACTTGGCGCCCAGTGGTTGGCATTAACATTCTTAGGGCCCTCGGTATCACCTTTCCTTTGGCCGGGTCAAGGGTCAGCCCAAGGGACATGACACCTTTCCATATTCCAAGGAAAGGGAACCCATGGTCCGATATGAGCTCTGTAACTTTTGGCCGAGTTACACCTCATTATTGGAGAGTTTGGTGCAGTCTTGTAAAAGAGACGAATCCTATTATGTGTGTATAGCTCATGGGTTCTGTCAGAGGTTACAAGGAGGTTATAAGGATGGTTGATGAAGTTCTATACATGCAAGTTACTCTTTGAATTATTATATATTGTTTTCTGTAAAGATGTTTAACTTATATGTT